AACTAAGAACCTCCTCCACAATCTACAAACAGAAGTATCATGATCAAAGCTCTTCTGGGAGGACACCTACAGCTGAAGATGCGCCAAAATGCTATAACTGTGGGAAGGCCGGACATGTCATCAAAGACTGTCACCTGCCAAAGAAGAAGGATGCAAACTTCTACAAACAGAAGATGATGTGGAATAAGCAGAAGATGCTCATGGTGCAGAAGGAAGAAGAAAATTCTGCAATGCTTGCTGAAAAGGATCATTGGGCTGAAGACACTTCTGATGAGGAGGAGGAAGAAAACTATGCACTGATGGCACGGTTGGAAGAAGAAGAAGAAAGAAAGGGTGATGCTGCGATCCCCGGGAATGAATGCTCCACTAGCACTGTAAGTAATTCTAATCTCCCTTTCTCAGAACATAACCATTATCAATCCTTACTTGAAAAGGACAACATCATTAAAGAACTAAAGGAGAGATTAGACAATAATTACAGGGTGCTGAAACAGAATATGGACCAAAAGACGTCTCTAAGCATTCAATTAGAAAATGCAAAAGAGCAGGTCATAAAAGTCTCCACAGAATTTGACAGTCTTGAACTTAAAATAGCTGAGACAACTAAGAAATTGCAAGATAGTGAAAGACAGAAAAACACAGCAAAGGCTGATTGCGATTTTCTTCAAAACAAGAGAAAGACCCTTTTAAACAAGATAAAGGAACTTGAGGACATAATAGTCAGGAGAGGACAAACAGAACAAACAATTTTTCTGAATCAAATAAGTGATGACCGGTTCTACAATCCTAGGACCGGACTTGGCATAACCAACCCGTGTAATCTAAAGAAAGTTGACTGTCTTCAGAATAATAACAAAGATTACATGGGACTAGGGTTTGGTCAGAAAATGTATTTTAGAAGTGATGAAAAAAATGCTGAAGAAGAAGAAGAAAAGAGAAAGAACCCAAAGGCTGCAATTTCTTGCGATTATCCTACTTTAAATGAAAAAAGCCTCACAGGGGAAGACCAAAGTTTTTGTACTAATGAGTGTCAGGATCCTTATGCTGTTGCGAAGGATGTACCACACCTGGGACATCCATTAGATCCACCTCCAAGGGTAGGTATTTCAAAAATTGGAGAGGAACCCTGTATCTTTCTGATGGCTAAAAAACTCAAAGACCTTCAGACAACTCTACAACGAGAGAGAGAGAGAGATTTGAAACTGAAAAGAAAGGTTTTGAGAAAAACTGGGAGGAACTTCTTAATAAGTTCAATGAACTGAGTGAACAATATCATTCAAAAACAACTTCTCAACCCATTTCTAATATTGAGTTAAAAATGTTCACACCTCTCCTGACAAAACTAAGTTTTTCACAGAATCATCCACTCATCGCTCTTCTCCTTTGTTCACAGGACAAGAAGTGAAAAAGAAGGGAGAAGGGAAGGAAGAGTGGAGGAAGAAAAGGAAAGAAATCGCTGAAAGGAAGGAGAAAGTTTTTGAGAATAAGACTGGCTCTAGATCCAGCTCTATTCTGTATTCTAAAGTTAATTGTAACTCTATCAGTGTCAAACCAACTTCTAACCATTCAGTCTTGAGTCCCAAGTTGAAAAATTCTGTGACATATTTTGAACAATGCTCTCTTCATAATTCTAGTATTGCTTATGGCTATTCTGTTCCAGATCCTCATAATTATGAATGTGATGTGAATGTTGTTAAAGTCAAACCTCAAAGAAAGTCCATACCAAGAAAGGAAACCAAGAATAAAACTTTTAAGGGAATATTTTGCATACCTCATATGAAATATCCCCTCAAAGTTCATTCGGGGAAGCATCTTAATAGGCTTTCTAAGGAGGAAATTTTTAAAACTCACCTCAAGAAACAACCATTCAATCACAAAGCCCATGTCTACTCTCCTCCCAAACTTAATCAAAGGTGGGTCCCCAAAAACAGACCCACCACAATTGAAAATCAAGGTGGGTCCCCAAAAAAAGACCCACCACAACAGAAAATGCAAAGTGGGTCCCCAAACATGGACCTACTAAAACTAAAACTGCAAAGTGGGGTCCCACAACTAGACCCACTGCAAAGGAAGATCTGGCTATTAGAGAGCCCGCAAAAGAAAAATCAGTTGGTGAGAAAGCTGCTGACCTTGGAACACAGCTGAAAGCAAAGTTTAGAAAGGTGTTTTCTATTGATAAGGAAGGACCCATCCCAAGGTGGGTACCTAAACCTGCTTAATTGTCTTGCAGGACGGTCATGTGTGGCACTTGGATTCTGGATGCTCAACCCACATGACCGGGATCAAACATCTGTTTAGCAACCTCACCAACTGCTACGGAGGCAATATCAGATTCGGGAACGACGCCTCCTCTCCTATTCTTGGATATGGGGATGTCATCTGTGCCAGTGTCACCATAAAAGCTGTTTCATATGTCAAAGGGCTCAAACACAACTTACTGAGCATAAGACAATTCTGTGACAGCGGGATGGAAGTGAGGTTCTTTGCCAAACAATGCTGTGTGCTGGACAGCGTGGGGAACTCATTATTAACGTGTTACAGGACATCAAACCTGTACACGATTGATCTGAAAAGTGTACATTCTACCACTTCCATCTGTCTGTTGTCCAAAGCTTCAACAGAACAAAACAACTTATGGCACAGACGTCTTTCCCATCTGAATTTCAAGAATCTTTCCATCCTATCCTCCAAGAAACTTGTGAAGGGGCTTCCTCTGTTGAAGTCTTCTGCTGAAAATCATTGTAGTGCCTGTAAAATGGGCAAAATGACGCGAAGCTCCCACAAGTCAAAACCAGTTCCATCATCTACTCATCCGCTGCAGCTGATTCACATGGATCTTTGTGGACCTATGAGAGTCCAAAGCATCAATGGTCGCAAATACACACTCGTGATCGTTGATGACTTCTCAAGGTACACATGGATGAAATTTCTTCGTACAAAGGACGAGGCAGCAGAAACCATTATGACCTTCATCAGAACCATCCAAAACTTGCTACAGCACAGTGTTCGAATAACCAGAACTGACAACGGTACCGAGTTCAAGAATCAAACTCTCACAGATTTCTATGAATCTCTCGGTATCACTCAGCAATTTGCGACAGCCAAAACTCCCCAACAGAACGGAGTTGTTGAAAGAAAGAACATGACACTTATTGAAGCAGCACACACCATGCTTCCAATCCAAATTGCCTCATTTCATGTGGGCAGAAGCAATCAATACTGCGTGCTACACTCAGAACAGAACATCCATCCACAAACGCTTCGAAAAGACTCCTTATGAAATTCTTTTCAACAGAACTCCATGTTGGGTTTCAGGCACAAAAACGCAGCGGAATAAACAAAAAAAATACTGCCCAAAAGTAAACAACCGGATCTGAGGTTCTTACTATAAATGAAATTACAAGATATAAGAGGGACTTACATAGAAATCTTAATCAAGGATGTCAGACAGTCCGAGAAAACGATCCCGAGCTCTACCGGTATCCACACGCACGTGATTGGATCGGCCGCAGGGAACGTGCTAGCATTCTCTTCTTTCTTCCTCTCTACTCTAGGTTTTAGAAGTGAATTTTAACTCTTAAAATTCGTGGGTCTATATAGCCCTATTTATAAGAGGAGGAAAGAAGGAGTTTTATAGCTAATAAAACCCTCCAAGAGGCCCTAGCCCAATACCATTCGAAACCCTATTTCGAATTGGGCTAATCAGGCTATTTTAATGTTATTAACGAACATTAATGATCCAAATCACTTAGGTGTGTGACCGTGTAGGTTTATATATTATGGGCAGTGGGCTAAAAAATTAATTCAAGCCTCACAAATCATAAGCGGCCTCTAGCAAGGTATTATGACTATCCAAAATATATAAATGTCAATTAAATCTGACATAACCTTTTAATGATTAATTTGTGCTAATAATTCTCTTTTGTCAAACGATATCTTAATTGAGACAAAGTTAGGTCATGTCATCCTTGTTATTCTCAATTAATATTTCTTGATTACCATGTAAGATTAATTTTGAACAAATGACACCTCATTTGAGCATGGCCATGCTAATTAATCTTACTTGTCAAGGGGCCCAATAGATATCTTTCTCTCGCTATACGAGAGTGACAAAAACTATCTTGATAATTCACGTACCACTACATGGTTCATAATATGTACAATCACCACCTTTATAATTACCCATTTAAAATAATATTTAATGGTGTTAATACATATTAATTCACATGCAAGTAACCATGATTATCTCAAGTATAAGAATATAGCACCTCATCATTATTGAGGACAACACTGATGACATATAACCTAGCAGTATCCTCAAGTTGGGTCTGTTTAATGAACTTGTTCACTAACAAGCATCTATGTTATTAACTTGATATCTCTATACCCATGACTAGTGGAATATAGCCATCAGTTAATCCACATAATGGTCTATTAATTATTAATGTCCCAGATTAATAATATTAGACCGTGGACAATTAGAATATTATGCTTATTTTAAGTGTAGCATTCCAAAATTAAGTCACGTACTTAATTAGCTACTAAACATAATATTCAGGGACTAAATATTAATAAAGAAAACTCACAATAATAATTAACATAAAATGAGTTTGTGACTTTATTAATTAATGAGCATTAAATATTCATTGATAAAATCATAACGTATGATTGTCCTAGGGCATACTTCCAACAGTCTCCCACTTGCACTAGGACCAATCGTGAATAAAACGAATGCCTAATGCACTAGTATGACGTTCATGCTTTGCTTGGGTATAAAATATGCCAAATGGTGTAATAAAATATCCGCTCTATCCTCCTCTATTTCATTGCTTGGGTATATAACTCGTATCAATTATCATCTAAAAAAGTATTGTGTGAGCCAAACATGAGAGAAAAGTTAAAACCCTTTTTTTGTTTATCCATTTTTCTGTCCCAGCTTCTACTTTTTATAGTAGTTAAGCTCTAAAATCAGAGAATCTAATTAAACAAGTATTATGTAGATTCATAGTCACAACAAGCTCACCTATTTTCCATCTGATTTCATCAGGAGTCGTTTTATTTCCTGAAGCTACTCTTCCTTTACGAGTAGTTCAGTCTAATTTTGTAGCGGCTATTGAAAAAGCCTTGCGACATAGTAATGGTTATTATACTATTGGTGTGGTAAGCATACTTGTGGAGTTACTTTTTTCATACTTGTAGCAATGTGTTATTTATTTATATATTGAAATACACCTTTAAGTTGGATTTCTGGGAATTGATTTTCAGATTCGAGTTCACAAGGATCCTCATAATTTGAGGATAAAATTTGCTACAACTGGGACAACTGCTGAGGTGCCAATTGTTACTTGGTCAATCTTGTAGTGCTACTAATATATTACTGATAGTTTTCTGCTGATCCACAGTATCTAGTATCTACTATGAGTGTAAAGCTATTGGGGTCATTTGATATGGTTTGCAAAACATGTAGACACACAAACTGTTCATCTATCAACTCGTTCATCATGATTGCCTTAATCCCAAGAAGTTGGGGTTAGTGACATGAAATTGTAGTGCCAAATAATGGTTAATTAGTTTACACTATAATTTTAGTGCAATAAAATCAATGTGGCAATGTTTTACGCATGATTCTCTACATATTGCAGCCTTCTTATGAAAAATTAATGAGATGAAATCCTAAAACAATTACTATCATTATTTCCACGTGCATAGAAATTATCATGAGACTGCTAGAGCTGAGGTAGCTGATGAAATTCATGATTGATATTGAAGAATCAACATGCAAATCATGAAACACAATTACTCTATCAATTCTTTGATCAGTGATTTTTTTGTTGCTACTTAATAATGCGATTACACAATGTTGTAGATTCGGCAATATCGGCGGTTGGAAGATGGTTCAGTGAATCTAGTTACCCGTGGCCAGCAGCGTTTTCATCTGAGACGCCGCTTCATAGATGTGGACGGATCGGTGAGACATTCTTAGATGTGAATACTCCCTTTTTATTGAATTCTTACTTTGCTCATTTGATTTACGGCACTTCTTTTGAATAGCCTTGTGGAGAAGTTCAAATCATCCAAGAAGACATTCCATTAAGGACGCCTCGAGATACTATTGGGAGATTGACACCATTGAGAAGATTCCGAGCTTTGTCCAGTGTGCCATTGCAAACAAAATCATTAAATATTTCTCAAACAGAGCATTATTGGTGTGGAAATGGGAACAATGATGATGATAATGTTGATGAAGTAGTGGATATCCAATTGGAAAGAAGTCGCCTGCATGATTTTGTAGGGTCTTTGCATACACGACGCGATGAAGAGCATATGCATCCTAATCAGGGAGTTGAAAAAATATCCATTTCAGATAGGCCATCTTGTAAAGACAATGGATGGATAAATCATGCCATTAGTCAGACGCGTGATGTTTCCAGGGCTTATTTGCCCAATTGGGTGTATCAGATGTATGATTCATATACTCTTGCTCAGAAGGTAGCAGGTAGCTTTTTTCCCTTTTCTAGCCTGCTATAGATTTTACTTGTTCAATATGGCTTTCTTTGAAATTCCCTCTTAATTAGATCATTAGATATTTACATGTTTTGGAGATTGGGTTTGCTAGTGATCATCGTTATAAACTCCATAGTCCCAACTAGTTGAGGTTGGTGACACAAAATTTAGTGTCAATCAATTGTCTAAAGTTAGTCTACACTATATATTCATGCAAACTGTCCATCATAGGTTATTTCCACTTGCATCAAATTTGTTAGTGATGATTTCTCAACTTTGGCTAGGGACAGTTGTATGAAGGCTACACTTTGATGTCCAGTTCCAGACTTCATTAAAAAATATATAAGAAAACTAGTTTGCAGTTTTACTAGTTTTTTAGTTATGAATCATGTATGACATGAATCATTTAGGTATATGATATGATGGGCCATGCAACTCATTTTAGGCTTTGAAATTTGAACTTGAAATGTCCTAAAAGAGAGTAAATATCAAAAGTGTTGCTTATGCATGATAGGGATCTACCTATCTTAGGAATTGGGCCTACTAGATTGTTAAGAATTGGGCCTCATAGACCAAGAATATTAATAAGTGTAATAGACTAGTATAAATAGAAATAAGTTGGGAATAGTGAGGAGGCTGTTTTTTAGACTTTGACTTTGGGACTTTGGGAGATCGAGAACTATTCTCTTTCCCATGACTAGTGGAATATCTCTATACCCATGACTAGTGGAATATAGCCATCAGTTAATCCACATAATGGTCTATTAATTATTAATGTCCCAGATTAATAATATTAGACCGTGGACAATTAGAATATTATGCTTATTTTAAGTGTAGCATTCCAAAATTAAGTCACGTACTTAATTAGCTACTAAACATAATATTCAGGGACTAAATATTAATAAAGAAAACTCACAATAATAATTAACATAAAATGAGTTTGTGACTTTATTAATTAATGAGCATTAAATATTCATTGATAAAATCATAACGTATGATTGTCCTAGGGCATACTTCCAACAGTCTCCCACTTGCACTAGGACCAATCGTGAATAAAACGAATGCCTAATGCACTAGTATGACGTTCATGCTTTGCTTGTGGTAGTGGCTTGGTGAGTGGGTCAGCCACATTTGCATCTGTTGGTACTTTGCATATCTTGACGTCACCTCTATTGACTATCTCTCGAATGAGATGATATCGCCTGAGTACATGCTTTGATTTCTGGTGTGATCTAGGTTCTTTGGCTTGTGCAATGGCTCCATTGTTATCACAATATAAGTCGATTGGTCCAACAATACTAGGAACGACACCGAGCTCAATAATGAATTTCCTTATCCATACTGCTTCTTTTGCTGCTTCTGAAGCAACAATGTACTCAGCTTCTGTTGTAGAATCAGCCACCGTGTCTTGTTTAGAACTTTTCCAGCTCACTGCTCCGCCATTGAGGCAAAACACAAATCCTGACTGTGATCTAAAATCATCATTATCGGATTGAAACCCAGCATCTGTGTAACCATTTACAATGAGTTGATCTTCACCGCCATAGACCAAGAATACATCCTTAGTTCTTCTCAAGTACTTTAGAATATTCTTGACCGCTATCCAGTGACTATCACCTGGATCTGACTGGTATCTACTAGTCATGCTTAGAGCGCAAGCTACATCAGGGCGAGTACATAACATAGCATACATGATAGAACCTATAGCAGAAGCATAAGGGACTCTATTCATTCGATCTCGCTCATCTTGTGTTTGTGGACACTGAGTCTTGCTGAGATGTGTGCCATGTGACATTGGCAAGAACCCTCTCTTGGAATCTTGCATATTGAACCTATGTAGGACCTTGTCAATGTAGTTACTTTGACTTAGTCCTATTAGCTTTCTAGATCTATCTCTATAGATCTTGATCCCTAACACATAGGATGCATCACCCAAGTCTTTCATCGAGAAACACTTTCCAAGCCAAGCCTTTACAGACGAAAGCATCGGAACATCATTCCCAATGAGAAGTATGTCATCTACATATAGAACTAGAAAAGTGATTGCACTTCCACTCAATTTCTTGTAAACACAAGGTTCCTCTTCATTTTGATTGAAACCAAACTCTTTGATTGCAGCATCAAAACGAAAATTCCAACTCCAAGATGCTTGCTTCAGACCATATATTGATCTTTTGAGCTTGCACACCTTCCCAACATTGATTGGATGTTCAAAACCCTCAGGTTGTATCATATACACGTCCTCATCTAGATTTCCATTTAGGAAAGCAGTTTTGACATCCATTTGCCAAATCTCATAATCAAAATGAGCGGCAATTGCTAAGAGAATCCGAATTGATTTAAGCATGGCAACTGGCGAGAATGTTTCATCATAGTCTATACCATGAATTTGTTTGTAACCTTTCGCCACTAAACGTGCTTTATAGACATCTACATTGCCATCTTTGTCTAATTTCTTTTTGTAGATCCATTTGCACCCAATGGTTCTACAACCATCAGGTAGATCAACTAAGTCCCAGACTTGATTGTCGACCATGGATCTCATTTCGGATTTCATGGCTTCTAGCCATTTATCGGAGTGAGGGCTCGATATTGCTTCTTGGTAGGTCAAAGGTTCATCTTCGTCTATTAATAATACGTCACGATGCTCAGTTAAGATAAACATGTATCTAACTGGCTTGTTACGTACCCTAGATGACCTCCTTGGAGCGAGTGCTACCTCAGGTGTATCCACAACAACTTGTGGTTGAGATTGTGGAACTGCTTGCATAGTCTGACTATCTAGAACTTCTTGAATTTCTTCAAGCTGTATTTTACTCCCACTGGTTCTTTCAGAAAGAAATTCTCTTTCTAAGAAAATACCATTACGAGCAACAAACACTATGTTCTCTGATGGGTTGTAAAAGTAATATCCTTTTGTTTCCTTAGGATAACCCACAAATAAACACTTATCTGATTTGGGTTCAAGCTTATTTGAAAGTAAACGTTTTACATAAACTTGACACCCCCAAATCTTCACAAAGGTTAGACTAGGAACTTTTCCTGTCCATGTCTCATATGGTGTCCTTTCTGTAGCCTTTGTTGGAGCCCTATTGAGTATGGATGCAGCGGTTTCAAGAGCATAACCCCAGAAAGAGATTGGTAGTTCAGCGAGACTCATCATGGAACGAACCATGTCTAACAAGGTCCGATTTCTCCGTTCAGACACACCATTCCATTGTGGTGTACCTGGCGGAATGAGTTGTGAAACAATTCCACAACCTCTTAGATGATCACTAAATTCCTGACTCAAATATTCACCACCTCGATCTGATCGAATGGCCTTTATTGTTTTGCCAAGTTGATTCTGAACTTCATTCTGGAATTCTTTGAACTTTTCAAAAGCTTCATGTTTATGCTTCATTAGGTACACATAACCAAACCTACTGAAGTCATCAGTGAATTTTATGAAGTACTGAAAACCTCCTCTGGCCATTGTTGACATTGGGCCACATACATCCGAGTGTACGAGGTCCAATAAACCGTGAGCTCTTTCACCTTTACCAGTAAATGGTGACTTGGCCATTTTACCTAATAAACAAGATTCACACTCCTCGGTTGATTCAAAATCAAAAGAGTCAAGAAATCCACTAGAATGGAGTCTTTTAATGCGCTTCTCATTTATATGGCCTAGTCTACAATGCCAAAGGTATGTTGGGTTTGAGTCGTTAGATTTAAACCTTTTGTATTTATTTGATAGATGGGCATTTCAAGATCTAGAACATAAAGTTCATTTATAAGACTAGCATTACCATAAAAGATCTCATTAAAATAAATAGAACAAGTGTTGTCCTTTATTATAAAATGAAATCCTTTCTTGTCCAAACAAGAAACAGAAATTATATTCCTACTAATGGAAGGTACATGATAACAATTATCAAGTTCTAAAACTAAGCCCGTGGGCAAACTTAAAGTAAATGTTCCTATTGCTAATGCTGCAACTTTTGCACCGTTGCCTACTTGTAGGTCAACTTCACCTTTAGCCATCCTTCTACTCATTGTCAGTCCCTGCACATTTGAACAAATGTGAGAACCACAACCGGTATCTAATACCCATGAAGTAGTAGTAGTAACATTTACTTCTGTCACATAGATACCTGAATTGGAAGCATCACCATGCCCCTTTCTTTTCAGTTCTTCCAAATACGCCTTGCAATTCCGCTTCCAATGACCGGTTTTTGTTGCAGTGGAAACATTTTTGCTCTTCTTTAGAAGTAGAGCTGGCAACAGATTTGCCTTTACCCGAGTTCTTAACCAGAGTTTTGGATTTCTTGTTTCCACCAACCTTGCCTTTTCCAGGCTTCTTGAATCCCTTTCCCTTTTTGATCATCAAAACGTCACTCCGATTTTTCTTGATGTTTTGCTCAGCGGAGTTGAGCATTCCATGCAATTCGGTTAAGGTCTTCTCAAGACCATGCATATTATAGTTCAGGATGAACTGGTCATATGTCAGGGTGAGTGATGCGAGAATCACATCAGTAGCCAACTCTTGACTAATTGGAGATCCAAGTCTTTCCAAGTGGTCCCTATACCCAATCATCTTGAGTACGTGAGGTCCAACTGGGCTCCCATCAGTAAGCCTTGTGTGAAACAAAGCTTTGGTTGTCTCGAACCTTTCGATCCATGCTTGTTTCTGAAACAAGTTCTTGAGTTCATTAGAGATGTCATGTGCACGATGATTCAGAAACTGTTTCTGAAGATTAGCTTCCATGATGGTTAACATCAGACAAGTGACATCAACTTCATCACGGACATGCCTTTCATAAGCATCTCTAGTGGCTCTAGGAGCATAGGCCGCTGGTTCAGCAGGAATTGGTTGGTCAAGGACATATTCTTTACGCTCTTGCCTGAGAACAATTCTCAGATTCCTATCCCAGTTCATGTAATTTGTTTTATTAAGTTTTTCCTTCTCAAGGATTGATCGCAGTGAAAAAGTTGTGTTGGTGGCCATAT